ATACTATGATACTATACACAGAGAGTATATTTTTGTATTCTTAGTTCTTATTCTAGGCATAGCTTAGATACTAAACACAGAGAGTATATTTTAGTATTCTTAGTTCTTATTCTACTCTTAGTTTAGATACTATACACAGAGAGAATATTTTAATATTCTTAGTTCTTATTCTACTCTTAGCTTAGATAATATACAGAGAGTATAGTTTAGTATTTTTAGTTCTTATTCTACTCTTAGCTTCGTTAGATACTATACACAGAGAGCATAGTTTAATATTCTTAGTTCTTATTCTACTCTTAGCTTAGATACAATACACTGAGAGTAAAGCTAAGTATTCTTAGTTCTTATTCTTCTCTTAGCTTAGATACTATACACAGATAGTATAGTTTAGTATTCTTAGTTCTTATTATACTCTTAGCTTGGATATATACAGAGAGTATAGTTTAGTATTCTTAGTTCTTATTATACTCTTAGCTTAGATACTATACAGAGAGTATAGTTCAGCATTCTTAGTTCTTATTCTACTCTTAGCTTGGATATATACAGAGAGTATAGTTTAGTATTCTTAGTTCTTATTCTACACTTAGCTTAGATACTTTACATAGTGAGTATAGTTTTGTATACTCAGTATACTCTTAGCTTAGATACTATACACAGAGAGTATATTTTAGTATTCTTAGTTCTTATTCTACTCTTAGTTTAGATACTATACAGAGAGAGAATATTTTAGTATTCTTAGTTCTTATTCTCCTCTTAGATTAGATACTATACACAGAGAGAATAGTTTAGTATTCTTAGTTCTTATTCTACTCTTAGCTTAGATACTATACAGAGAGAGTATAGTTTAGTATTCTTAATTCTTATTGTACTCTTAACTTAGATAATATACAGAGAGTATAGTTTAGTATTCTTAGTTCTTATTCTACTCTTAGCTTCGTTAGAAACTATACACAGAGAGCATAGTTTAGTATGCTTAGTTCTTATTCTACTCTTAGCTTAGATACTATACACAGAGAGTAAAGCTAAGTATTCTTAGTTCTTATTCTACTCTTAGCTTTGATACTATACACAGAGAGAATAGTTTAGTATTCTTAGTTCTTATTCTACTCTTAGCTTAGATACTATACACAGATAGTATAGTTTCGTATTCTTAGTTCTTATTCTACTCTTAGCTTGGATATATACAAAGAGTATAGTTCAGCATTCTTAGTTCTTATTCTACTCTTAGCTTGGATACTATACACAGAGAGCATGGTTTAGCATTCTTAGTTCTTATTCTACTAAGGGTGTAAAAAGAGCAGTCATGCCTACTATAAAGAAAAACAAATCAATGCTTGAACACCGGCTTGGATTTCAGGGAGTAACAAGGTCAACCTTTCATTCATGATATTAAAGCGTAATTTTTACCGAATTCTGGAAATTTTACGCAACTCTTAACGTAGAATTTACGCATCTCTGTTGGATTTTGAACAAAATGTAGTCGCAACTTCGTTTTTTTCTATTTTGAATAGTGTAGAGTTCTGACTGTTTCCTTCTTTGTCTCTGAATTATGCTATTTAAAAGTTATTTTCGAATTGATACCTCATTGTTACTCATAAAAAAGAACTCGAAGTTACGGTGACACTCTACCATAGTCTTCAATATATATCTTTTACAACATTAAACTCACCCATTACTGATTGATTTACAGTTAATGATTTTGCGGGATTTCTTTTTCAAAGACGATAAATTTTTTACAACTTCTTTTTACAGGAAATAAAATTTAACTATCGCCTGAAGTAGCAGTAAATCATTTATTCGTAAATATGAAACAAACTTGTGTACTTCCATTATGTCCAACTTTTAAAATTTTTTAATTCCCCCCCCCCCCCCCCTCCTCGGTCATCTTCATGTTATAACACATTTTCTTATATCAAATCGAAATCTTTAAAAAATTCAAATAAAAAACTATCACTGAACAAATATGGATTTCTCAATAAAATGTGTTGATATTCCTATTTATAAATTCTGTATGGATCAAAAAGCAAATGATTAAAATACAAGACTTTTAGAGTGCTTCGCGGTCATATCAATTTCAAATTTTGATTGCAGCTTTAACTGTTAGCATCTTTTCGTTGTACAATATAAAACAATAACAAATTAAATTCGTTGATTTAATAATTTCTCTTCGCGCTTTTTCAAACTTTTACAAAAATCAAAAAACCTTTGGAAACAAATTTTTGTAATTTTAAGCATCCAAGCACCCTCCCAGGGGTCATGTGAGGTCCCACACGAACTTTGGGTCCAATCGGGTCAGCCGTTTGGACGTTTTTTTTGACAAACAGACAGACAAACGAGTTACGTGTCGTATATATATAGATTAAAGGTTTCCTGCAAAGACATTAAAAAAATAGAGCTTGAGGCGGATGTTCCTTTGCTATAAACATGGAAAAGGCATTTCTATTCTACATGATTATGAGAGAGACATGACACGCAAATGTAATAATAATAAGAACACCAATGATTAATATTCTGGACCTCGCATGAGGCATTAACTTCTATGTCATGTATCTAATATATAATATTGAATATACTTCATACCAAATTTTCTATTATTTTCTATACTGTTTGTTAATCTTGGACTCTGTAAGGATATCGTATTAAAAATCATTAATATATTATATATATGTATTTAGCCCAATTTTTTTGTGGTACTCTTCTGATTACAAGAGAGGTTTATTGCCGGTAAAAATTTTAAGTTATTAATTAATTTATTTTGAAACTACTAGATTTTAAAACTACTAGATTTTTAAACTACTAGATTTTGAAACTACTAGATTTTGAAACTACTAGATTTTTAAACTACTAGATTTTGAAACTACTAGATTTTGAAACTACTAGATTTTGAAACTACAAGATTTTGAAACTACTAGATTTTGAAACTACTAGATTTTGAAACTACTAGATTTTGAAACTACTAGATTTTGAAACTACTAGATTTTGAAACTACTAGATTTTGAAACTACTAGATTTTGAAACTACTAGATTTTGAAACTACTAGATTTTGAAACTACTAGATTTTGAAACTACTAGATTTTGAAACTACTAGATTTTGAAACTACTAGATTTTGAAACTACTAGATTTTGAAACTACTAGATTTTGAAACTACTAGATTTTGAAACTACTAGATTTTGAAACTACTAGATTTTGAAACTACTAGATTTTGAAACTACTAGATTTTGAAACTACTAGATTTTGAAACTACTAGATTTTGAAACTACTAGATTTTGAAACTACTAGATTTTGAAACTACTAGATTTTGAAACTACTAGATTTTGAAACTACTAGATTTTGAAACTACTAGATTTTGAAACTACTAGATTTTGAAACTACTAGATTTTGAAACTACTAGATTTTGAAACTACTAGATTTTGAAACTACTAGATTTTGAAACTACTAGATTTTGAAACTACTAGATTTTGAAACTACTAGATTTTGAAACTACTAGATTTTGAAACTACTAGATTTTGAAACTACTAGATTTTGAAACTACTAGATTTTGAAACTACTAGATTTTGAAAGCTTTTAAAAGGACAATTAGAAGGCTCAAAATATTATTATAAATAGAGGTATACAACTGCACAAGCCACCTCCATTATAGGCATAGTTGACTAGAGGTACAACTTCACAAGCCGCCTCCATTACAGGCCTAGTTAACTAGAGGTACAACTGCACAAGCCACCTCCACTATAGGCATAGTTGACTAGAGGTATACAACTTCACAAGCCACCTCCATTATAGGCCTAGTTGACTAAAGGTACAACTGCACAAGCCACCTCCACTATAGACATAGTTGACTAGAGGGATACAACTTCACAAGCCACCTCCATTATAGGCCTAGTTGACTAAAGGTACAACTGCATAAGCCGCCTCCATTATAGGCCTATTTGACTAGAGGTACAATTGCACAAGCCGCCTGCATTATAGGCCTAGTTGACTAGAGGTACAACTGCACAAGCCGCCTCCATCATAGGCCTAGTTGACTAGAGGTACAACTGCACAAGCCGCCTCCATTATAGGCCTAGTTGACTTGAGGTACAACTTCACAAGCCACCTCCATTATAGGCCTAGTTGACTAGAGGTACAATTGCACAAGCCGCCTCCATTATTGGCCTAGTTGACTAGAGGTACAACTGCACAAGCCGCCTCCATTATAGGCCTAGTTGACTTTTAATCATCTTATTTTATTCATTATATTTAATAGTTTTCATTTTTTGCAATTTTTATTTTCATTAAATTTTTTTAAAATTTTAATCAAACTGTTGACGATTATCAAAAGTATAAATAATTTTTGTTTATTCATTTTTTTCTTTTACCCTGGCCCTTGTGAAATCCCTGCTTGTCTTTATAAGCTTATTTTCAAATACTCAACCCGAGAAAGGTCTATGTTAAAGTAGATATAAACAAATCTAAAAATTTCTGCTTCTGTCTAATGTTTGACTATAACAGGATGAATTTTGAAAAACTCCTTGCTGAGTTTCAAGCAAAAGGGAATATTCAGGAGAAAAATATAGCTTTAAATTTTGAAATCCTAAAGATGCATTTTTTTATATCTTTAGTTAAAAAAGTGAGATCATTGTAGTTTACAGTTATACGATATTGTTTAATTATTTTTGCTGAATATGACTCAGATTTCATTTGCACTGTCAACATGTTAAAAAAAAGGGAAGATACTTGGTTGGGGGGGATAGTGTAGTGTAGTGTAGTGTAGTGTAGTGTAGTGTAGTGTAGTGTAGTGTAGTGTAGTGTAGTGTAGTGTAGTGAGGTGTATATAAAAGCCCAGGGTTTTGTTTATTAAGTATAAAAATAAACAGAACTCTCGATGAAAAGTATTTGAATTTTAGAAATGTTAATATTATCTATGTCTTGAGTCTATATGATAGTTTATGCAGGGTTACCCAAATGAAAGGGCTAAACAAATAATTTTAGGAGAAACAAATTTTAATATTTTTTCAGAAACCATGTCTGAAATTAGCAATGTTGAAATTGAAGCTACTGAACAGGAATTGCAAGAGGTAAGAAGAAATCATAAACAATATATTCAGTATATCCATGAAAGTCTCAATCAAAAAAGTATTTGGTAAAAAGAACTTGCAAAAAAAGAAAAATACTTTATTCTCTAAGGACTTAATTGACTTCACCTATTAAAAACTTTTTTTAATTCAAAATTTTCAAATACTTTCAAGTCTTCGATGACTTTAATATCGTTAATTCAGGAAATTTTTCTATAAATTGCAGTACATTTGTGAACAATGACTTGTGATAATTTTAGCACCTTATTTAGAAGAAGATAATTAGTGCTGAGAGCTGAGACATAATAAACTATCGTCAATATTCATGTTTGTCTATGTGAAAATTGATAAATTTCGACTGTAGTTCACTGTAAACCTTGGTTCATTTCATGTACCGGGCCGATTTTTAACTAGCTAGATCAAGCTGTACAGTTGTACAGTACAATTACAGACTATGCAAGACCAAATGAATCAATAAATATGTAGACTAGGAATCACCAAATCCGTAGCGGAGAATTTGCGTTTATTGAGTTGGGCGTTCGACTGTATAGTTCCTTGAAATAGATTATCTTCTAGTGAAACATATATCTGTGAGTAATTGTCAATTAAACTTGTGGATTTTTGCAGCATAGAGAAGGAATGAAATTGACAGAATTCAACACCTGTGAATTCATAAAATCAATGGCATATATATTCCACATTGTTGGTCAGATAAAAGTACGTTTAACGGATTATAATAATCAGGGATGCAAGTACACTGTACTGTGCAGTGTACACGCAAGTACACTGTACTGTGCAGTGTACATGCAAGTACACTGTACTGTGCAGTATAAACGCAAGTACACTGTACTGTGTAGTCTACCGTTGTAAGTCGGGCATTGCCGTATTTGCATCGAGGGTCACTTGAAATTATGCAGTCTGTGCACTTCATCCGTGAAAAATTTCCATATTTTGCGATCTCACAAGAACTTTAAAAGGCCCACAATCCGCAGAACCATAGTAGTTTGGGATAAATGCTTGCTGAAGAGATTTACAATATAAATGTTCCCTCCTCACAATATTTGAACATTTAACATCTTAGTTCATCTGATTTTATTTAGAGGGATTAAGCACATTTTACTTTTTCTAACTTAGCCCATGAACCGTGGGTTACTACGCTCTGAACTCCAAGCATATCTAGTTAAAGCAAACAATCAGCTCATTAAACATCAGGTAGATATCAAGAACGATACAACAGGGGTCTTTGTTTATTTATTTCGACAACATCCAACTTAGCTGGCTGCACTTCATATGATGTATTAAGTAAAAAGTATGGTAAAAAGTTTTCAAAATGGATAAACGTCAGAGACAAATGTTCAGAATATATTCTTTAATAAACGCATGTTCTCTGCACTCATCTATCAAAGTTTTTTTTTGCCAAATCATCTTATTTACCATTACAGAGAACCCAATTCAACATTTAGAAAGCTAGTTTATATAGTTGAAGGTCGTCAATAAAGTCTCATCTTTCGTGGGTAACCCTGCATATTTTGTAATATCTGGTAATATCTAGACAATCCTTTATAAGTTGCACTCTTCATAATGTCTCTAGGTTTTTCAGTTCGTTAAACATTCGTTTTTATTTTAAAGGGACTGTAAAGGAAAAATGAAAGGTGGTATAGGCTGAAACCTGAATATTTCAGGAGTTGAACGATATATATAAGACATCTATCTGATGTTTCTGTCTCGAGAAATTGTTATAAAACTGTGTCAAAATTATACCAAAACGCATATATATATATCCCCCAGCGCCGAAAAAAAATATTTGAGAGCATAGATATATAATTGATTTATTGTATGAACTATAAATATATGCGAACCAAACCAACTTATATATTTATGGTATTGACTATAAATATTTTGGTATATATTTGTAGATTTTAAGTTATTTTTTGACAAGCATATATTTAAAGTGTTTACTAGATTTTAACATGGAGCACAACAGAGCATATTTGAAATATGAAAACGACGATATCCTTTATATATTAATTAATTCATTTTTTAAGTTTAATTTTGCATTTTTAATAGATATAATTGAAAATATTACGTGAAAGAATTCCCACCAATGACAGTGCGGTATCTGTGTCTCCGTCTGTATCATGTGACCAGTATGCGCTGCCATTGGTGGGAGTTCTGGTATACGGGCGTATAAATAATATTTTGACACAGTTTTATATAGATTTCTCGAACCAGGAACGTCAGATAGATGTCTTTATATAATATATATCGTTCAACTCCTAAGATTCTCAGGTTTAAGCCTTTACCCCCTTTCATTTTTCCGTAACAGTCCTATTAATGACGGACGTTTTCGAGAAAATTTTATTTAATTATAAAAAATGAACAAAAAACTAGAAAATAAATTTGGGCCACGGTTTCACAAAATCTAGATTGAAAATGGTTTAGCTTCTCTAGACATGCTTGAAACATTAACAAATCTAAGGACTGAAAAATGGTTTATTTTAAAGAACATCTAAAAGTTTTGGGGACTTCCTTTTTCAACATTTGAAGGATTGCCACATGCAATTCTAAGGAGTACCCTGTAGACATTTACACACAAGCGATGGTTTCTTGTATTAATAAATTTCAAGGTCACTAAAAAGGACTAAAAATGACCAAAAAGGACCAAAAAGGACTGAAAAGGACTAAAAAGGACTAAAAAGGGCTAAAAAGGACTAAAAAATGACTGTAAAGAACTAAAAAAGGACTGAAAAGGACTGAAAAGGACTGAAAAGGACTAAAAAGGACTAAAAAGAACTAAAAAGGACTAAAAAGGACTAAAAGGGACTAAAAACAACTAAAAAGGACTAAAAAAGGACTAACAAAGGACTAAAAAAGGACTATAAAAGGACTAAAAAAGGACTAAAAAAGGACTAAAAAAGGACTAAAAAGGACTAAAAAGGACTCAAAAGGACTACATAGAGTATAAACGCACTCTAATGTGATTCTTAATATAAAACTTAACATTAAGAATGACGACTGTACCATTAATAATAAATAATGATGAAGGTATTTAGGTTAAAAAGATTCTCTAAACTTCCTTCCTTATCTTTGCAAATGAGTGGTCACTTAAATTACGGCTACAGTTCATTCAAAAGTATCTTAAAGTTACATCTTTCTAACGAACTAAAAACGTTCAAAGTTAAATATTTTGTAAATCCTTAAAGGGAGTGTACAATCCCAGAATTTTTTTTTACTTTTTGAGCATCTGAGAAAAGTAGGGGTCTTGTAAAACACACTCTTTGGAATCTTTTATGCACTCGTTTTGAAAGAAGATGTAGGTTTAGAGTTTACTTTCATCTCTCAACACGGTGAAAAACTAAAAATACAAAAATCAGTTTTTTAATAAAATAAATTAAAATTTTTTTCCAAGCTTTTATATTTCTAAAACTTACTCTGATGCGATCTTTGAGGTGTTTTAATGCTCTTCTTAGATCTTGCTTATTCTTGCCAAATTATTCTCCGATGGTTTTGAATAGCTTGAAGATTTCAGGATTGCTTTGCTCAGGGTTATCTTTACAGCTTAGGAGTTTCTTACAGAATTAATCCTTATTAAGATCTGATGTTGGTTTAGATCTTGGATTAGTTTTAACTGGATTAGCTCCAGGTATAGCTTTAAGCTAACTCCAGGTTCAGGTTCTACTCCAACAATAGGTCCAAATCCTACTCCGGAGAAGGTTTATTTTCAGGTATAAATCAGGGTTGGATAATCTCAGGTTCAGCTCCAGGTAGAATTAACACTGGGGCTCTGGTTCTAAGGTTACTTTCAGGACAGGTTCCGCTCTGGTACAGGTTCTAGTTGGGATCAGGGGTGAGCCTTATCACAATCTTCTAAGTTTCACATATCTTAGACTTTAGGTTTGGTTCTTGTTTCTCAGTATCCACGTTAATAAATCTTGTATCTGCAGGTTCTGTACTCTTATATCAGGTCTCCTTTCCTTCAGACAAGTCTGATTGTTCTCTGGATGACTTTTCTTCTTTATCTCTAACAAATCTGGTTCTTTATCTTCAGGAAGCTTCTTCTTTCTGTTGATAATTCTCAAGATTGGTTTTATCAACTTAACACTCCTCCATATATCTTCTTTCACTGTATTCACCTTCTTTCTAGATATGGGAAGAGTTGAAGAGAAGTTTAGACTTTTTCTCCTTAATCTCCCATTGTTCTGCAACAATATTCGTTTGCAGGACCACTTCGAGTTTTTTCATAAAAGCTTGGAACATTACAATAACATTGGTCAATTTAAATTAAAACCATTTAAAACATTTTCCTTTCTTTTTATAAAATATACAATAGATCAGCCATTTTAATCAAAACACATATATCTATTTGCTGTCATATATTCATTAGATAGACTTCTAAGCTTGAAGTTTATTTTGAGTTGAAATTGTCCATCCTTGAATCTTATTTTCATCTTGTTCTGGTTCCTGCAGTCTGATCCTTAAATAGTTAAAGGTTTTACAGGGAGTGACCGGCTATATAAGGTAGTTAAACTGAGTTTGCAATGTTGTGGACAAACTCTTTAAGTTTCATTTAGTGCTTATAAAAGTTTTTAAAGATCTGTAAATACTTAGTTTAAGCTCAAGTCGACGTTTAAAATCGTACTTTTGGGTGGATACGTTTTCAGATTTTTTTTTAAATTATTAAATCAGCACGACAAAAATGTAAACAAAATTCTACAGTAAACTAATTAGTTCTTAAGGAACAGGTTGAGAAAATAAAAATTAATCTTATCATCTAAAATAAGTAATCTTATTCAATTATTATTTTCTATAATCTCTCAATTATTCAAAAAGATTTTCTGGAATTTTTATTGAAAAGACGACATTGGAAGAATTTGAAGAAATCTGAAAATTAATTCAGTGAAAATAAGATATTCAATATAATGATGAAACTAAATAATTGATTCTAATATTTATTGACAAATTTCTTGTGAGAAATATGTTCCTAACCATCTAATTAGTTAACTGTATAATTTTTACTTTATTTTTCTTCGTCGTTATTTAATATTTATAAAAACGATTCTGAAAACGAACAAACCAAATTCATGATTTTGAACGTCGACTATTCACTCAAACTCAGTAATTATATTTTATATGTCTCAAATGAATCCTATAGAATTTGTCCACAACACTGCATAATCAGTTTAACTACCCTACATAGCCTTTAAGTCCCTTTAAGTTTTATACAGTATGAAGGTATCCCAAAGTACACAATGCAAAATGGTCTATACCTAATATCCATCCATGCCGGAGTATTTTAGCTTTAATTTTACACTCTTCATAAAAATAGTTTCAATCTTATTTCAATCTCAGCCTTTTGAACAAAGGGCGTTTATCTCCTTATAAACTTAATTGGGCCCAATTTGATATTTTTTAGGGATGTTATATGGGGGAAAAAGTACAAGTTTATTACTCTATGTTTAGGCTCTGAAATATACATGATATATAAAGGGTTGTCCGCAAAGCATAAAACCTTCGAGGGGGGTGGGGGGGGGTGTCCAGAAATAAAAAATGGAAATAATTATTTTTAAAAAGGGTTGATAAATGCATTGCAGTGCTTATAGAAAAGTTCTAGTTTTTTAGAAGCAAGAGACTTCTATATATAAATTTAGCTTGTCTATTTGTTTGTTTGTTTGTTTGTATCCAATAAACGTCAAAACGGCTGAACCGATCGGGCCCAAATTTTTTGTGGGACTCCACGTGACCACAAGGAAGGTTTATGAATGATAAAAATTTTAAAAAATGTGTTTAAAAGGTTTTTAATTTTATGAACAAATTTAAATTCTTGAAAATCCGCGAATTTTTTTTAAAAATTTTTTTCTTCTTTGTTTTAAAATGTAAACAAAAAGAACATGTTCACAATTTAAATATAAGATGGGCGCGAAGCGCCCTAAAAGCCTAGTTTCTTATATTTGTATTGTAGGCCAAACATTAGGAATACAAAAGCTATCTTTTTTGTTGGCCATTAACTTACACATTTCGTTAAATTACATATATTTTTAATTTAGCATTTAATGCCATAAACTAATGAAAATAGAACTCTTGTTTGAAAAAAAAAACTATTAAACAATTAAAATATTTTCATTTTCTCATGAATCCACAAGCACGAGCACGAGCACAAGCGCTTTCTAAAAAAATTCTCTGTAAAAGGTTCAATAAAATCGGTCAACGGGAATTGGCCAACATTTACTTAAAGTTACAATAAAAGTCCTTTCAATTTTTAAACTATTTTGCTCTCGATTTTATCTCAATAAATTATGAAAAAAGCATTATGGTTTTCACCTGCAGCTTGGATTAACTAGGAGAAAATGCGTTCGGAGCTGGGAACTTTAGAATGGTGGATATCAGGATTAATGCTTAATCCTTTCTTTTTGCTAATCTCGAGACTAACATAATCTCGAGATTATGCAGTTAGTCTCGAGATTAATTATTTAGGTCAACAAATTTGATCCTAGGAACGGCAGATTTGTTCGTTTTCTTTATTGGAAGGGCCTTCACTTAATTTCTCACCCATTTAATTATTAATACAATAATTATCTTTTTTCCATCTCATAATCTGAGTTCTTTTCCCTTATGTCCATTTGACAGCCCAAATTTTTATTTTGAATAATCTCTTTGTTTGTTTATATTTTTGTGATTTTTACATTTTTAATTTTTTTTATCGATTTTGATGGTTATTATATCGTTAGAACTGACGAGGGTCAACCCAGACCGAAATATATTTTCAATAAATGTGGAACTAACATCTACTTTTTTACTCTACAGAGGTTTGGTCCATCACCATCACTGAATTTTAAATAAAAATTAGTTAAAAAAGAATCTCAAACGTATTATTACATACATTTCTTTACCAATTAATTTACAAAATGGCCGACATCAAATTCTTTATTTGTTAGAAATTGCAGAGGTCTTTCATTCGATAGAATTTATTTTCAAGGCTGTCAATGGTTAATACAATTTACGAACTATATTCCTGCACTCTAATTGGAGAAAATAATGTATGGATATCCAAAGAGAGAGAAAAAGAGTGGATTAAAGGACTATAATTAAAAGTTTCCACAATGGATATACAGATTAAGATTAAGTCGGGATTAAAGATTATCCACACTTAAGTTGCCAGCACATTTTTTTCCATTTTAATCCATATAATTCAATATTATAATTCAATAATTTGAATCATAGTTGTCTTTTTTAATTTTTTCATTTATAACGCACATGCCGGCAAAATAGCACAAAATTAATTTTTAATTGTTCAAATTGGGATCGAAAGTCATAGCTTGCTGGGTTTAGGACCGAACTTTTAATCTGCGTGACCTTTCACCATGCACATTAGATTTTTAAATTTGCAAATTTGCACATGGCACATTTTTGTGTTTCAGTGTATATTATATTATATCAGGATGAAAAGATATAAGTATTAAAGCAATTGTTTTTGAGTGAAGCAGCCACGGAAGTTTTGAACCTTTGTATATTAGATAATAATCTTTTTTAATAATTTAATATATAATCTTCATTTTTGTTCAGGCCTTTAAACTCTTTGATTTGGATGGTGATGGAGAAATAACTATCGATGAATTGAGAAGCTTAATTGAGAAGGTTATATATTGTATATTGTATATTGTATATTGTATATTGTATATTGTATATTGTATATTGTATATTGTATATTGTATATTGCATATTGTATATTGTATATTGTATATTGTATTTTGTATTTTGTATTTTGTATTTTGTATTTTGTATTTTGTATACTGTATATATGTAAATATTTATATTATAGGTTGGTGGAAGTATGACCGAAGGCGAAGCAAAAGCCCTCATCAAAGAGGTAAACAAAAAGAATACACAAATATTAGAAAATATGACAAAAACTTTACAACAAAAATCATATAAAAGTCACTCTTGCGATCCTAGTATGATCTCAATCCTTAGTTACCTTCAGATTGAATGAAGCCCTCTCCAATCGCGTGGCAATCACAGATCACTCTAACCCTGAAAGGGAAAACGTTTATGTAGTAACTTCAATGTCGACATGACCACTACGGTATATCGAAGAGGTCTGCATTAAATGGAGATCAATTCTTGATGCAGAGATTTACAACACAAAAGTTACGACCCCTGCACATCTCTGAACGTATATTTCTGAACGTATATCTCTAAACGTATAACAGGACGTATGTCTCTTAACGTTTATCTCTGAATGTGTATCTCTGAACGTTTATCTCTGAATGTGTATCTCTGAACGTTTATCTCTGAATGCGTATCTCTGAACGTTTATTTCTTAATGTGTAACTCTGAACATTTATCTCTGAATGTGTATCTCTGAACGTTTATATCTGAATGTGTATCTCTGAATGTGCATTTCTGAACGTTTATCTATGAATGTGTATCTCTGAACGCTTATCTCTAAATGTTTATCTCTGAACGTTTATCTGTGAATGTGTATCTCTGAACGTTTATCTCTGAATGTGTATATCTGAACGTTTATCTCTGAATGTGTATCTCTGAACGTTTATCTCTGAATGTGTATCTCTGAACGTTTATCTCTGAATGTGTATCTTTGAACGTTTATCTCTGAATTTGTATCTCTGAACGTTTATCTCTGAATGTGTATCTCTGAACGTTTATCTCCGAATGTGTATCTCTGAACGTTTATCTCTGAATGTGTATCTCTGAAAGTTTATCTCTGAATGTGTATCTCTGAGAGTTTATCTCTGAACGCGATATCTCTAAACGTGTATCTCTAGGCGGATAAGGACGGAAATGAGGGAGTGGACTACACTGAGTTCACTAGACTCTGGTCAGCTATTAGAGGAGAGGGGGAGGTAATATATAAATCATTTAATCAATCAATCAATCATTTAATCAATCACTATACGAATGTCTTGTTTTATTATATAGAAGATATATTTACAAATACAAAACTCACTGTAAACTAACCAGGAGGAGAAGGTCAGATTCAATTTACTTTACTTATACAACTTTGTGACTCCATTGCTCCTTTAGTTCTAATTTTATACACAAGTTAACCAAAAGCAAATTTATCCGGTTAAATATTAGAAATTCAAAACATTTTTGTTCTTTTCGATACCTCTTAAATAAGAGGAGTGATGATAAAACACATTAGATTTTAATCAAACGTGCATTTTACTTTAGTTTGACGTGAACTATATAATTTATTCTACATATAACTAAATAATAATGTCTATATAAGTTTATAAACCTGTAAATCATTACTAGATGTATTCACAAGTGTTTCTTCACACATATGTATTTGCATACAAAACCAAATAATGATGGTGATAACAATAATAATGATAATAATAATAATAATAATAATGATAATAATAATAATAATAATAATAATAATAATAATAATAATAATAATGCCAATAAATCTCAGAAAACTGAATAAATGCGGGCTGATTGTTCTACTCTATATCTATATAGATATTAATATTCCAATAAATTATTTTCAAAATTATAATAAAAACTTCCAAGGAACTCTATTTAAAGAGTAAAATGTCGAATTCACAACGGTAACATGAAACTTTTATTTAAGCAAAAATTATGGGGTTTTCTTTGTTAATTTTTACTTAAGATAATTTTCAATTACAATTTCTATTTAACAGAAAAGAATAAGATAGAAAGATAGAAAAGGATAAATATCTTTCTCAGATAAAAGTGTTCAGGGTTTTGTTGTAAATCAGTCATTATCACTTTTTGATCATACAGCCCTGAAAAGAATTATACAGTCGTCGTCGGAAATATTAATACAAAGAAGACGACTTAATATTTCTAATTAGATTTTTACCCAGGTTTTAAATGGCAGACACACTTAAACATATAAACAAAAAGTTTTCAACAAAATAAGTTTTCAATTTTGCTCGCATACTTGTTATTTGAAAAATGCTTGTGAGGGAGCATGGCAATATTTACAAAATGTCGTCTTTATTGTATTGATATAATCGCCAACCACTAAGGTTTTCAAGTAATGATCCAAGGAAGAAAAGTACAGCTATTACCTCCGTATCATGATACAGTTTTAATTCACAAAACGACGAAAACGCAACACTGAAACACTTTTTAGTTTAAATAAAAGATTATATTAATCCGTTTTTTATTGATACAAATCGGATGAAAAAGCCCTACCTTTTTGTCGTCTTCCTGAATTTCAAAGGTTCAGGTACTCTGTCCTCCCTTGGGTGTCCAGAAATAAAAAATGGAAATAATTATTTTTAAAAAGGGTTGATAAATGCATTGCAGTGCTTATAGAAAAGTTCTAGTTTTTTAGAAGCAAGAGACTTCTATATATAAATTTAGCTTGTCTATTTGTTTGTTTGTTTGTTTGTATCCAATAAACGTCAAAACGGCTGAACCGATCGGGCCCAAATTTTTTGTGGGACTCCACGTGACCACAAGGAAGGTTTATGAATGATAAAAATTTTAAAAAATGTGTTTAAAAGGTTTTTAATTTTATGAACAAATTTAAATTCTTGAAAATCCGCGAATTTTTTTTAAAAATTTTTTTCTTCTTTGTTTTAAAATGTAAACAAAAAGAACATGTTCACAATTTAAATATAAGATGGGCGCGAAGCGCCCTAAAAGCCTAGTTTCTTATATTTGTATTGTAGGCCAAACATTAGGAATACAAAAGCTATCTTTTTTGTTGGCCATTAACTTACACATTTCGTTAAATTACATATATTTTTAATTTAGCATTTAATGCCATAAACTAATGAAAATAGAACTCTTGTTTGAAAAAAAAAACTATTAAACAATTAAAATATTTTCATTTTCTCATGAATCCACAAGCACGAGCACGAGCACAAGCGCTTTCTAAAAAAATTCTCTGTAAAAGGTTCAATAAAATCGGTCAACGGGAATTGGCCAACATTTACTTAAAGTTACAATAAAAGTCCTTTCAATTTTTAAACTATTTTGCTCTCGATTTTATCTCAATAAATTATGAAAAAAGCATTATGGTTTTCACCTGCAGCTTGGATTAACTAGGAGAAAATGCGTTCGGAGCTGGGAACTTTAGAATGGTGGATATCAGGATTAATGCTTAATCCTTTCTTTTTGCTAATCTCGAGACTAACATAATCTCGAGATTATGCAGTTAGTCTCGAGATTAATTATTTAGGTCAACAAATTTGATCCTAGGAACGGCAGATTTGTTCGTTTTCTTTATTGGAAGGGCCTTCACTTAATTTCTCACCCATTTAATTATTAATACAATAATTATCTTTTTTCCATCTCATAATCTGAGTTCTTTTCCCTTATGTCCATTTGACAGCCCAAATTTTTATTTTGAATAATCTCTT